ATCCAAAATACGTCATTGTTGAATTTACTGTTATCGATACTTACGTGTGGATCGGTCTATTGATGACGGCATTTAAATTCAACTATGGATAAAACTGTGAAGAAAACGAAATCCAAAATTGGGTTTCCAAACGCTTAAAATAGATTATTTTCGTGAAACAATTTAAAAACATGCGTCAAAAATGTGACGATGTTCCAATGTTCCATGAATATGAATGCGTGGGTCTTGTTTCGGTCACCGACTTGAGTTATTTGCTTATTATTTTCTAGAAAGTTGGATAAATTTCTACGGAAAACGCAAACAATAACGATCGAAAAATAGAATGAAACCAATTTCTTCTAATATAACGAACAATCAGAATCAATACATTTTCCATTGAATTGAAAAACGACTCGAACATACCCTAAAGTAGTTGAGTCCATTACATTTCAGGATAAACGAAGAAAATAGTCTTTGCTGTTTGATTTGTATAACATTTAGAACATCTGACTATCAAAATTGGGCAAATTGATATCGATTTCCACAACTATATGAATATCAATTTGAGTCCAATTCATCTCAGTGAAACTATCGTAGAATTGTTAAAAGTGATGAATTTATGCGACCACAAGAATTAAGTCCATTTGACTAAAAGTTCATGCTTTGTGCACAGAAAATTCACATCGCAACATTTAAACATCGTCTTGATGAAGCTCCACGCATGATAGAAGAGTTATCGAAACAGGTGAACAATGACCGACTCTCAATCACTAATTCCATCGCAACTTCACATGCAGAACTTCGTTCACGGCTCTAAAACATGACCGAATGAACGGAATAAAGGACGTTGAATGAATGTGTTAAAATATGCATTGTAGCGACCTCAACACAGTGTATTTCATTTTGACTAAATAAAATTTGAATAAAAAACTACCAAATTTATTCAAGAAAAATCGCATTTTTTTTTCACGAAGAAAAATTCGAATCAAGTTTTTCGGATAAATTGATCTTAATACTAATCATTTTGTTGAAACACTATCGACCACAGCTACTGGAATTTCAATTCGGATGTAATCGACATTGAGAAATTGAGCATGACTAAAAGTGAGTTGATATCACAATATTTCCAAAAAAAAAACTATGAAATTTAATCGAATGTAAATGATACTGCTATAATTATGGCCTTTTTTTGCTATTACCGCTAAGCATTCATTAAGCTAAGAACAAAAAGAAGCATTTTCTACAGAAAAAATCAATTTTTCTCCATTTTATGAATATTGGAAGTGTTTGCTTGCTTCTTTTATTCCATTATTCTCTTAGAATTGAAGAACAATATACCATCGGTAATCGTTGTTTGTTCAGTTTTAAAATTTACAGCGATAAACAACCAGCCCGAACGCACTCCAAACTGATTGAGTCAGATAGCCCGAACTGTCAAAACTGAACGAAGCAGTCACCTTACAAAGTTGATGTTGTTTCATTGTGTGCGTGAGTTGGTTTCAAAAAACGTCGTTGAAGTGAATGTTTAACTGAAAACTGTATTGCATGTATGTGAAGTGTCGACGATCGAATGTTTCAAGTTTTTTTTTATCTATTGTGTTTGTATATTCAATGATTTTCTGAATATTTTCGGAAGTAAAATAAGTGAATTGTACTGTTTGCATGAAGAAAAAACCATGAAAAAGAATGAACATGTGAAAACAGCGATTCGGTGGCGTCCAAAAACCGAAAACAAGGAAGTTGTCATTGAAAAAGTGAACAACAAAGTAAATATACCAAAGCAATTGTTGAGCGTCTCAATTGGATTGGATTCATTTTTGTAGTATTTTGTCACAAATTTCTTTTCATTTATTTTGATAGATTATCAGCGTGCAAGGGAATTCGGAGCCGTTTATGGTTGATACTGTGTTTGACAGTTCAGAACAGAGTGAAGTGTTCGATGTTTTGGTGAAGCCACTGATTGACAAAGCGATTGAAGGCTTTGACTTTACATTCTTGGCCACGGGTCAAACGGGCAGCGGCAAAACGTATACCATGGGCTTTGAACGCAGTGTAAGCAATTGAACGAAACAATTTTTTTAAATCGAACAATTAACCAATGTTATTGTGTTCGTAAAATTTCGAATAATTTTACTTTGTTTTCATTGTTGTTTCTCATAGGTGGATCCAGAGAACAGTGGCATAGTCACGCGTGTATTGAATTCACTGTTTTCCCACAAAAATGCGCCCCAATTTCAAATGCAAATATCGTTTATTGAAGTTTACAACAATCAAGCGTTTGATTTGTTGAACTCAACTGGCGAAAAGCCATTCTACACAAAAGGTACGGACAAAGGCATTCATTCTGAATTATTTTCGGTGCATTTTTTTCCAATTCCACTAAAGAGCATCAAATTCATATTTTACAGAACATCCAAATCATCGGACAAAAACAGGCTCTAAGCAATTGGTGAACACTGCAGCGGAAGTATTGACGTTGCTATCAGCGGGCATTGAAAAACGACGAGTCCGCGAAACAAAAATGAATTCGATCAGCTCTCGTTCGCATGTGATATTCACCATTTATTTGAATGTCACACAAAAAGATAATTCTATCAGACCGACGGTAATCAATTTGGTGGATTTGGCCGGCTCAGAAGGCTTTCGAAAGACTGGGAACACGGGTCAAGCTCACGCCGAAGGGAAGAGCATCAACGAAGGTTTGACAGCATTCAAACGAGTAATTGATGCAATGGCATCTGCCCGCCCCGACACTCATATTCCATTCAGAGACTCGGTCATCACTAAGCTTTTACAAGGTTTGTGTTTCTTTCCCCATTTTTTGTGTTGCCGAATCCACTTTACATATTGTCAGATATTTGATTTCCAAAATGCATAACATTTATTGTTCTTTCCATAGATTCGCTGAATTTACGCTCGTATTTGACTTTATTGGGCTGTATTAGTCCGTACAAAGACGATAGAGGCGAAACGTTGGCCACGCTACGGTTTGTATGCGAGGCAAAAAAAATGAAAATGACACCACAAATGAAAGAACTCGTCATCAATTATAGGGTAAATGTTTTGTGCTATTCAATTTAGTAGCAATTTACCATGTTTTGCTATTCAGTATTGACTTTTTGCGGACAAATCCAAATTTTAATTGAATTTCAATCAATTTTTCTTTTTATTGAATAGAAATCAATGACACCGGTCAAGCAAGCTAATGTCAGCCGAACACTGAAAACAACGAATTCATCGCTGAAAGCGAGAAATTCAATCAAATCATTCACGCCATTCAAGCGGCCATTTCCAATACACAACAAATCGTCGCTCTTGTCAAAGCAAATGAGTGAACCACGCAGACCATTTGTATCATCGAATGTCAGTTCGAGTGCATCGAAGCACCACAGTCGAATGTCAGCAATAAGTTCCACATCGAAGAAGACGAGCCTAAACCAGTCAAATAGGAATCTTCGCAGTTCGGTCGGTGGTCAAGCGAAAAAGTATGAATATCAACTATATATTTGTAGGTTTTTCATTTGATTTTATCTTTTTTATTGCATTACCAGACCAAAAGCTGTCATCAATTTGTTCCCAACGGAGGAGAATGATACAAAGTTCGTAAACGATTCCATCTTGAGTTGCGACAATTGGAATGCGTCATCGTCGAGTGTAATTGAAGTTGAGCCAATTACACCTGAGCCATCAAATGTGAATCAAGTACAACTCAATCAGACGGAAATGATTAGAAAGCAATTAGCTCAAACTCTTAAAACCTTAGTTAAAACACCAATGCGTGAACAACTTATCAAGTAAGTCGTCAACGATCAATTAAATTCCCACAAAATATTTCAAATTCTGACCATTTTCGAATTTTAGTAACGTCATCAAGGCCGTTGGTAGCCAGTTTAAGGAAAACGATGGACAAATCGATGAACAAAATGATGTGAAAGATATTAAGCCAGTACCATCAATAATTCAATCATCACCATTGTCATCACCGTTGCCGTCACCGTCACCATCACCATCACCGTCACCGTCACCACCGCAGACGTCAGTACAATCACCTATGAAAAATTGCATTGATCCAACCACACCAATCAAAATCCATCAAACGGTGGAGAAGCATGAATTAGCGGTAATGAATGAAGATGATTCAACTCTGGATGACACGCCCAATGACGTGACCATGATTGAAAATATCATTCCACAAACTGCAATTGATACTCCAATGGATGTGGATCAAGATGAGCAAAAAATATTGATGGTCACTTCGACCAACCATATTCCGGTTGATTTGCCGCCACCTTGTGTCAATGAGCAAGGTGAAACCGCAATATTGAGCTCAGAAATATCATTTCCGCATCTCGATGTGATTACCGAGGTAACAGAAGTGAACTCTATCGAAGAAGCGTCGGAAAAAACGATCGAAAAATCTATTTTCGCTTGCGCATCGATCCAAGAAGACGTTTCTGTTGCGAAGTCTGAACTGTCACAGGTCACACAAAATTATGACCCAATATTTGATGATACCATTTCGGATGTGGCGGATGAAGTCTTAAACCAATTCGTATCACCATTAGTATTCCGAAAAGTGGAAAAAGCTCCAGATCTCGAAGTGACATCGATGTACAAAATTGTGAAAAAAATTCACAACGAGGAGCCATCGATGGCAAATTGCGTTGAATATTCTTACCCTGACGTTGAGTACGAGGAGCCAGCGATGGCAAATTGCAATGAATATTCTTACCCTGACGTTGAATACTCATTGGCTGATCAACAAACGGCTGTGAATTCGATTCCAGAGCAATTCGAAGCAGAAACACCAAAAACACCCCAACCGCCGGTCATCGATCGTACCAAAACCATTCGGTTTGCATTCTCACCACGCATTATATTGCATCGAATCGAAAACATTTTCAAATACCAGCAAAATTTGAAGCGGGCCTCATCGCAGATGGAAACTTTAGACACTCGGAAACCAAAGCGTGCCAAAGTTACACGAACTGGATGTGAGTAATCGTGTTTATTGGCAACATTTTTGCTTGAGATATTTATTTTTCATTCAATTGATTTTACTATACGTTGTAATTTCAGCTAATCGTAAGACGTCACGAGCAAAAGCGAAACCAAAAACACCAAAAGCGACAAAAGCAAAGACTAACGCCACGTCTAGTGCAATAGTAGCCGCAACGCCAGTCCCAACACCAAATGTGGCATCAATATTGATTGAGAACAACAGAGCGGTTCTGCATATCCTTAACACTGGAACGGTAAAGGACATTGGTAAATTGGCGACGATTGGCCCCAAGAAAGCCGTCACAATTTTCAACTACAGGTAATTTAACCCTTTGATGCACAATTTTTTGTTTTTGAATCATTTTGATATATGTTTTGTGCCACGATAAATAGAGAAAGACCTCATACTTAAATTTTTGAAAAATTGCGTATTTGTCGAGAAAATCGGAAAAGAGTCAAATGAAAAAATTAAATTTCATAAAACTAATGATGCAGAAAGTTAAATTGATGTGTTTTGGTCCTACGAGTCCTAATTTGACAATTGGAAAGAATGTACAAACCCACAAGATAAGAGGAGGAAAAATGTGGAATTCTGCTATAATTTCGCATTTTTTTTACAGCAGTACATGAACAGAAAAAACTTTCCATTCAGCCAGCCGATTGTAGCCTGTAAAGTATCAAATGAAAGCTAGTTCATTTCCCTACATTTGTTTCCAAACAAGAATGTAAAAATATTCAGTGGTTTCATAGCTATAGCGTCTGGCGTATCTGGTTACTTTAGGAACCGAAATGTGATAAAGGGTTAATCAAAAACAAAGAAAAAACAATCTCTAATCTCACGGCCCATCAATCAATGGCATTCAAAATAGTCTGAACCACGATTGTGTGTCATGGTTACCGAACAAAGGGGAAAAAAACCTAGCCAGATTTATTTTCAAAGTCTAACGAAACGATTGCATGTCGCATGTCATAAATGCAATGCAATAAAATAAAATGAACGCTTTGACGTTTGTTTCGGGTTCAAATGTGTGAATTTGCCATTGACACCGAAAATGGTTTGATTGCCTATTTCCATGTTGACATAGACTTTGTGTGCTCTTATCCTTTGCACTCAATCATTTTAAAATGTGTTTGCATTTATTGATCAACATTTTTTATTGGAATTTTTATTCGTTCGTTTGTTTCATTTCAGGGCCCTTCACGGTGAATTCGTAAACATTGATAGCATGAAGGTCTTTTGGTCGGATAAGGCTCACCAGAAATTTTTGATGCAAAACAACCTGATCGTTTAAACGAAAGCAAATCAAATAAAAAAAAATCATTTAAAAGAAAACCGATATAATAGAAAACGAGTTTCGCATTCGTTGTAGGAACATAGATTTATTGATATCCCAGTATATATATGTAACTATCGATAAGTATATATTCAATAAAAAAAATCAATTGAAATCCAAATAAAAACAAATATGAGTCTGGATGAAGAAAGAACAACAAGCATTTGAATTGTTTTGTCGATTTTTATTCAATGTTTTGTTCCATTATACAGAATATAATATCATATTAATTTGCGATGATCACGATTTTGTTTTTATTAAAACAGTTCTGTTTATTTAATATTTTTGTGGTTGTTGTTGTCAGTTTCAAATGAATTAGCTCTTCTAAAGAATTTCTTTTTCCCCACATGTTGAAAACAGTCGAATTTATTTGTTGTTGTAGTCAAACTGAAGGCGCAAAATCGAAATTTTGTCTAGATTTCGATGTGATTAGCCGTTGATGGGCACCAAATGATGCCAAACAAAAAATTAAACTGTTTAAAACGAAAATCAGAGACAGAGATCATTTCGAAAACGATTTTGGCAATATAATTTTTAAATTTGATTTTGTAGCAATTTCTTATACCCTTAAGATTGCCGACAGAATTTTCGGTTGTTCTTTTCTTTTCCATCTTCCTTCTTTTTAATAGATATATAAAAAAAATTCGACTTAAAAATGAAAAATGAGCTCGATTTGGTTCTAGCTACGTCACTCCTTTTCCTCCTAAATTTATTAGTTAGTTAATGAAAAACCAAATTTTTTTATACGGACCAATTTACATTTAGATGATTAAGCATTTAAAAAAAAATTGTGACAAACACAGAAACACAGTTTTAAATTTTTTTAGTCATTTTTTGGTTGTTGTTGTTGTTGCTCAAATGTAGGGTATATCATGTGCAGCAAATTGAATTTCAAAATCGTAAACATATCCTAAAAAAATTGTGTGTGTGTTAAATGTTCATTGGTTTTTTTATGTCTTCTTCAAATAGGTTTCAATCTCATTCGAAATTTGATTATATGATGCATGTTGCGTGCACATTTTCTAAATTTTTTTATCTCAATCTCGGCGCCAAAAGCCACAACGTTCATTGTCTCTATTCGGATTCTATAAAAATACAAAGCAAACTTTTTTTTTCGATTGCGTCTATCTCTGAAAATTGGTTGTGTTTTTTTCTTTCAGTCGTTTTCTTTATCTGTCAAAAAAGTAATCACCAATTCGTCATTTTTTTTTTGTTGTATCACTAATAACCCTTATTTGCTTAACTGTAACAAAATAGCATTTAATTTCAAATGTGTCTCCCCGTGATTCTCACGATTGATGCGTAATAAATGAATATGCTCAAATTTTGAAAATGGTTCTCACTTGCCCATTGGTTTGTGTGCTTCAACATGTAATATTAGTATTAGTAGTTTTATTTTTTGGTGCAAACGAGCAAATTTTCCAAATTGCTATCAATCCAATTCGAATTAAAAATGTTTCCTCAAAGCAGATGTAAAGTACTTAGTATGGTTCTTGTTGTTCTTCATAGCCTTAAACTTGGTCTTTGGCTTCGGAAAAAAAATATATTTACATCAAATATATACTTGGCTATTAAAATTCTATTCTGCGTATAATTTTAGCCTACGTGAATGTGAGTGTGTGTGAGTGAGAGGGGGATATTGAAAGACTTAATCCACATTGGGTGTGAATTATTCATGACATTTGCAACAGCAGCAGCAGCAGAAGAAGTAACACACACCGTTTTAATTATTCAATACGTCGTCCCGAATTTAAATATTCACTCACATTTCAATCCAACCAACGGTGTTTTCTTCCTTTTCTTCTTCTTCTTCAACCTTTTTTCTCTCACCGAACATGGATGCTTGTCTATATATATATGTGTGAAGGGGGGAGAGATCCTTTTGCAAACTTAATTAAAAAATCATGAAATATCAAGTGGCGTGGTGTGTAAATGAGTGAGTATGTGAGTATGGGCTGTATGTGCATAATTCGATTACATCTCTATTTACATGAGCCGCTATTGTATTTTATGTAAGACAACACGAACACGTGTGTGTGTGTGTCTGTGTCTGTGTGTAACGTGAGTCAAATATCACTGCAATAGAAGAATAATTTGCGGTCGAATGGTCGCTTGCATTTTTCATTACGAAAAATAACACACATCCTTCTTCCGCTTGACAATTTCATTTACGATTACGGTCACTTTTTCTGTCTATTTTTGAGCACTTTTGATTCTAACGAACAGCAAAGAAACGGACACAAATCGGTTGTTTGTCGTATGTAAATAAGTGGCTAAATTTCAACATATTTCTGCGGAATTTCAATGTTTATGTGCACGAAATAAATATGAATGTTTAATTTCTCAATTTACTCTCTCTCTCTCTTTCTAAACACATGTCCCTTTTCTTGTGTGCTGTGTGTTAAATAATATGTACAACGGTTGAATTTGAACGCTGTTTTTTGCGCGCAGTTGGTGAGCAGTTGGTTTGTGTATTTTTTCCCTCTGTTTTTGGTTTATTTTTTATGCGTTTGGTTCGGCGTCTTCGTCGTGTTCGTTTAACAGCGGACTGTCGTCGTTGATGTAGGACGCTGGCATTGTGGTGCCGGGTGTGGTCGGTGCCGATTTCGATATCCAACCTTTGCGATTCCGGTTAAAACTTAAAATATTACTGCTACCGATTGGGCTACGTAAATTTTTGGCAGCTGACATGGCAAAGAATCGCGTACGTGGATACGATCGTCGATTTTGCTGTAAAGTTGAAGGCCTTTGGTTCGGTTGTTGTTGTTGAATTTTATTTAACATACTGTTTGATGTGGACGATTCATCGCCATCGTAAGCATCGGCTCCACCACCCAATGACGATGATTCATTCGATATTGTGGTCGCCGCACCGCTTTGGACCTCGTGTTGTGATGATGCAAAACCATCGGGACTGTTCGCATTCTGTTGTAATTGACGTATTTGCTCGAGAAGCTCACGAATTTCCCCGGTTGGGCTGGTGGCCTGTGGCGGTGACGTTGGTGAATCGAAATTGGCCAAACTTGATACAGCCGAACCGCTCATTGAATCAGTGTATCCTCTCATGGCCATGCCGTATTTCTTCAAAATTTCCCCATTTACCGGTGACTCTTCGCTGAATGGCAACGAAGCGGACACATTCAGCGGCTTATTTTCATTGATCACATCGAATTTATCGTGTCGATGCTTGCGCAACGGCCCATTCAGATCGTTGAAATCACGATGCGTGGCTCCAGTAGGCGTTGACACAATCAACGAACGTCCGGCAATCGGCATATTCAAACCACAATCATTTGCATCGTCATCAATTGAATCGTATGAATCGAAGAATCCGTTCGAACTATTGCTATACGATAAACTAGTTTGCAATGGTTTGCATTTGGCTTTTGTGCTGTTACTGTTGTTTTGGTTGCTGCTGATGTTATTCTTGTGGTTTAGTTGCTCGTGCACTATTGTCGCATTGTTCATCATATCAAATGTTTTTTGTGTACTCAACGATTGGGCATCGGCTATCACATTGCATGGTTTACTTAAGTCACTATTTAAATCATCGAGAGTATCAGCGTTATTTGTCATTGTGTTATAGTTTGGATTAGCCCGAATATTGTTGTTGGTGCCATTGTATGGTGGACTGGGTTGGTTTTCGTTAGTGCTGTTGCTTTGCAATTCTTGGAAACTAACACTATTTGATGTGCGTCGAAATTGAACGTATGAAGTGTCATCGCCACCACCAATGCCGCCCACGTCGGCCGTTTCATGGGTGAAATCATGGTAGTGTCGATACAATGTAATTTGTTCGCCGTCCAAATTGCTGTTTGTCATGACAACGGGAATGGATCGTTGATTTTGCCCTTGCTCCAATGTGCACATTTGCGATGCGGACCGCGGCATCGACGAATAATCCTGGATGTTCATTGGCAAATTTGGGCTACCGGCCCGTGAATATGGTGGCGGTATCAAGGTGTTTGCTTCGTTTGCATTGCAAATAAAACTCGAACTCAACGAATCAACGGTACTCGTTGCTGACAACGAACCCACCGGTCGAACTATGTAATTACGAAAGTATTGAACCATTAAATAGCTCGCACCATTTTTTCCATTGTCCGAATTGTTGCACGAAAACACCAGCGGATACAAGTCGGGCTTGTTTGTAACCTGATCGATCGAATCGATACAGAGAAGAAGAGAAATAAAAAACGAAATGGTGACATTCAATTAATTAATTAGGTAAACGTTGATGATTTTTGATGCTGAAATACGAACCTCAGCATACGGCGGTGGCGCATGATGGAACGATGTACATCGACTGTATTGCGGTGGAGCATAGCAAGACCCAGTCGAATCACCCGATTGTGAATGTGGCCGAGGTGAGCCCCAGCCACATATTTGACGCCGCTTTTTCCACAACGAACATGCACACAGTATCGCAATCACTATTGCAAATATCGTACACCTGCGAAAAGAGCAAAGACAAACAGTTTTTTTTAGTAACACAATTTTTTCGGAATGAATTACGGTGTGACTGTAGGGACTCAATAGTGAAAATTGAAAACAAAAAAATTACCAGAAAAACCAGTGATTTATGAAGAATAGGTTGAGCACGTGCGATGTATTATTGGGTACTTGTGCCTTTGGCGCACTCGGCGGTGCTGTAAATATCCATTTAGAACATTTTGAAATCGAGAAATAAAATGCATTCTCTGAGGAAACAATCAATGAACGTACCGTATAAGTAGCAACAGCCTTGGGGGCAGCATTCTTTGGGTGGACTGCACCGATGACCTCCTTCACAAGACCGAGCCGACACCTTTTTCAGTTGAAACATACAAACAATATTATTTACGCTGCCTTTTTCTCTCGTTAAATAAATACGTGTTTTGTTTATTGTTGGGTAGAAAAATGTTTCGATTTCAATTGTTCGCAGAATCCAGTTAACACAAAATGCAAAAACAAAAATAATACGAAAAACACACACGCGCAGGACTTGTAAGTAAGATAATAAGATTTACTCAGAAAATTCCATTCCGAAAAATTAATTATGGATTTAAATAAATAAAGCGACACACAACAGGCTCGTTTGGAGTCTCATGCTAGAATGAACAGCACTACACAATCACTAAAAAAAACATGTTAACTAAAATCTATGGAAATTTTCGCCATTTCTGTTCTATTTTAAAATTTCATTAAAAATAATATGATATTTATAGAACGATGACGGCAACTGGGGATGAATGAGTGTGTGAGAGCGAGCGAGCGAACGGACGGACAGATGAACGAACGAAATGCAGACAGAAAACGAGCGAGAGAGACAGAGAAATTGAGATGAAACGCTTTTTACGCTTTTCAAGTGTTCACTAGACTAGAGAAAAGTTTGTCAATTTGAGAAGCAAGCAAGCAAGCCGTGGGTGAGAGCGGCTTGGAATATTATATACTATGTTGGAAAATGATTTCAGAAAAATTAATCAATCGCTGTTGCTTCTTTTTTCCCCTTTTCTCCTCGGTTCTTTGTATATTGATCGAAGGGCGAACTGAATCGTGTTAATGGATGGAATAGAATATATTATGAATATCGGGGAGTTTATCACACAAATTGTTAAGTCTAATGGAAACTTTTAAAAAAATTAACAAAAATGTCGTGTGGCAACCACCAAGCTCAAAAGGACACTGTTTCTACAAAAGCATACAATATACATATTTTTTCGTGTTGAATATGTAAACAACACACAATTTGTAGCTGGATGACAATGAAAAACTAAATTAGAAGCGTTTCAAAAGAAAGAGAGTGAAAGAAAAAACCGTGGCTTCGGCTTGTGTTTGTTGATGAATTGAGAAGGACACACATGGATATTTACATGTATGGAAAAAAAACACCATGGAAAAGGATAACGATTTTTTTTCCTGTATTTTTCACACGTGGTGATTTGTTTGTAAAATTTTCGGAACAAAAAATGAAGTGGGAGAATTAGTGTGCTAGAGAGAATGAGGGAGAAAGTTAAAACAAAAAATGTTGTGTGTTTGTTAAAAAAAAAGTTTTCGTTAACTGAATTTCTGGCTTGAAGTGGATAAATTCACGCGCCGTTCACATATGAGCACACATTTAGTTCCGGGCGTACCATTCCAAAGCATAACAGCAAATATTTTTTTCACAACAAATAAAAGTATTCCAGTAGCAACAACAACACCACCACCACCACCGTCACTATTCGGTCGGTTTTAAACAATCTATTTTCATTTATAAATGCAGTAAATGAGCAAACTTTGTCGAAATTGTTGAAATTGAACGAGATAGAGGGAAAAAAACACAAGCAAAATGTAAATTGGGGACAAAATGTAACGCTAAAAACAAGCATTATGCAAAAAATCTAGAGTTTTTTTTTATGATTGCTTTTCGTTCTAAATAAAATTGGTTTTCCAAAAATGTAATGGCTTTTCATCTAGTTCAATAAGAAAATGGTACAATTTTTTTGTTAAATTAAAAATAGAGATTATATATGTATTGTATTTACTAGTGACTCAGTTTTATGCATAATCAAAAAGCTTCCCACTACGTTATACACTTTGCTTAAATTTCGTGAGCAATTGCTTGCGATGCCCGAAAACAATGTTTAATCCACACGCTCTACTGTGAGGATGTGATGTGGTTGATGTAGAAGAGAAGTAGGAAGAAATGAAGTTGAAGAAAGGATATTTCGCGATAATGTGTGTTCGATTTTCGTGTGTGGCGTGGTTAGTTTTATTGGTTTTCGATCGACACAACATGTAACGAAGCGTTTTGTATGTAAGTATTTTTTAAGTGTGTGTGTTTTTTTTGTCTTTTATCTACGTAACTGTTAGCGAAATCACATAATACGTCATTTGGTTATTGGTTTGACTTCTATTTTGATTTTTAAAAAAAGATTCTTTTTCTCTGTGTTTTTTTTCTATAGTGTTTTTATGTAATTTGCATTTTGTTGATTACCACTGAAAATAAATACGAAACAAAGATAAAAAGATTTTCAATTTAAATGAAATATTCTGTATATTCACGTGTTATACCAACAATTTTCATTTTCTATCAACAACAACAACAACAACAGCAATAATAAACAACAATAAAAGAAAAAAAAACGTATTATGATACGGAAAACAGGATAAACAGAACACGAGAGTTATTCAGCTGGAGTGACAGAGAGTATGCTATAGACATTTACAATATGGTTATATATGATGGATATGGATATATAAGAATCCAAAATGGATACGAAAACAAAGGAATCGTACACACATGTTTTTTGTACACATTTTTTTTCACTCTCTTTTTGCTTGGCAATTGACGCTGAAATTCATCAGGCATTTAACCGAGGGAAAAAAAAGAATGAATAAAACGCAAAAATTCAAATACACCTATATATACACCGTTTTCTTTGATATATTGGAACAGAAAAAAAGAAAATGAACAGAAACAACGGTCAATGTAACACTTAATTCTCTTGCCAACTGTAATAAATATGGACTTAACAATGAAAATATAATTGATTAGTATATGGTTAGCGCTTGGCTTAGCTTAGCTGCTTTCTAACTAGAACGGATGGATTCTCAATTGTTTTTTTTTGCTTTGCATCAATATTCTATCGATTTTAATGCAATGAAATAGCATTAAAGAAATTTTGTTTCGGCCATGTAAATATGAACGGAAAGAGAACTGAACGAAAAAATCGAAAGAAAAAGAACCAACACCAACGATAACAAAAGAAAGTAAAATTGCTTCATATATCGTTGATCAAACAAAGGATTGCTAAGAGATTGTTTTGTATAGGAACGAAAATAGTCTCACGGATATAATTGGCGCAGCAATAACGATGACGAATCCAGTGAAAATCATGAAGTATCCATACTGTAACATTTTCGTATTGTCGTCAAATTTATCGAATTACAGCTACAATGCGCCAATGGCATTGTATGCCTCCCCTCGCGTCCCCACAATCAATTCTCACACACACCGATTTTCAATCACTTTTCACACGGGGCAGCCCAAAATGAAGGGAGAGAGAGAGACGCACAGAGAGCGGATGATAGAGAGAGAGAAAAACTCAAACGAATTTTCACTTCCTTTTTGGCTGCAGATTTTTCGTCGTTTTCGACGTCGCCTTTGTTCTTCTTTTTGCCCAAACAAAATGTAGCACATTCACACAACACCTCGCCAAATTCCAAATTTCGTCACATATAGGAACTCTCAACTCCTTTCTCTCTATTTTTCGTACACCGTATAAAAATTATATATATATATATATGAAATATCTATTACAATAATTTATTAATTAGCTGCAGCAATTTCATGCTGCTCTTTCGACAATTTAATTGAATCAATTGCCGAACTTAGCACTTTATGCACGACCACTGTGTCCTCGTCGTTGTCTCTTTTTTGTTTCACGTAAAAATCTCTTTGTCTTCTCCACGACGAAATACCATTTTCTAATGGAACAAAACGAAAAATGAATGAACGACGAAAATCAGTTTACAGCACTCTGAATAGAATTTCTCGTCGATGCGAAGCGATTATTTCTCATCGTTCTATCGCACCATACCACCACACCACAACAACTTGGCTTGTTTGCCATGAAATGTGAAACGCTGTATCGTTGATAACAAAGTGCGCATGATCTGGTTCGACGGAGGGTCGATATTCATCCTTCTTTCGTAAACCATTACGCGCGTACGACAATTTCTCTCTTTCGCTTCCTTCTTACGCAAAACACACCATTTTTTGGAATGTTGTCGCGCGCGCGATAGAGCTTGTGCCGTTACTGCTGTTGCTGTTGCCCGTCGTAGTCGTCATCACCATTGCCCGTGCTTATTTTCATTCCTTGACTCTTCAAGTGTCGCATAGAACAACACTCATTTGCATATTTCAAACTAACCGCCAGGCATTCCCACATCAAACACACAACACATATACTCACATGTCTTCCCTTGAACACGAGAAACGCGAAGAAGAGGAAAACAACAAACGAAATGAAAATATAAAATTAGGAAAACAGAAAATTGGAACATTTATATTTATCAGGGTATATGTTCCACTTCATTCGTTGAGTACAGAAATTAGAGCAAATTTGAATTCATGGTATTGTTTACGAACATTTTAATTTTTATTTGATGTAGCTTTGCTAAGGGTAAAGATAATATTTTTCGATTTTAAATTCCGTTGAAAATTACCATTTTTCAACTTTCAATTCTATGGTTTACCGTTGGGTCTATGCATGTTTATCCACAACAGAGTAAGGCCTCATTTCGATGCGACCCACTTGACAACCGAAACCAGCCTTTAACCATATGTTCTAATGAGACGTCAAACACTCACAATTGACAAGTCAATAATTCTGATACTCGGCATTCAGTGCGTATACACAACACAGTACAGCCCTTTGAGCCTACGTGGAAACGCACAATTTTCATCGTAAACACAATGCAAACGTTTTTTTTTAACAAATACATTTCCTAGAAATTAACAATACGGCATTTTGTAATCATGAAATTGATAGGAGTTTTAGGTTTATTGACATTAATCGCATTGAATGTTGACATTGTGTCGGCATGGGACCAAGACGAGATAGAAATATACGATTTGGTTGAAGAAATTGGTATTGAGAAAAACTTTTACACCATCCTTAAAGTTGAACAGGTAATTATGGGATTCATTGTTGTGTTAATTCAATAAGTGAGGTTAATTGAAGCGATTGATACTGAAAATTAAACGTATTTTTATCGTTTACAGACAGCCACATCAGCTGAAATTCGTAAAGCATTCCGTCAATTATCGGTTGTACTGCATCCAGACAAAAATGACGCTGAAGATGCCAATGTTCAGTTCCGGAATTTAGTTTCGGTTTATGAAGTCCTCAAAGATCCATCCAAACGTGAAAAGTAAGAGAAAAATTACATTTTCAAAACAAAAAACCAAGTTTTCATTTAATTTTGAAACTAAAATCATTCTCAATTCTCTTTTCGATGATTAGGTACAATAAAGTGCTGAAAGATGGTTTGCCCGATTGGAGATCAGCCATGTATTATTATCGGCGCTATCGCAAAATGGGTCTGGCCGAAATGGTCGGTTTGGTATTTGTCATTTTCACCATTGGACAGTATATTGTTGCTTGGGCTGTTTATGCCGAAAAGAAATACACAGCGGTATGTTCAGCTTGTGTTCAATTTGAACAATTTCTGAATTCGTTCCTAATTTAGCCAACTTGTTTCTCATGTGTCCGGTTTTTCCCATTCTAGGAAGAGATTTTCGGCTCAAAACTCCGAAAATTGCAGAAAAAAAATAAAACTGCTGTGAACATAGATGAATTGTTGAATCAAATACCGACACCGAGCATAAAGAATACGCTTCCATTTCAAATAGTTCGCGGTGTTTGGAACACTCCACGGACAATCAAGAATTTCTTCACCGATATTAACGAGTACAAAGAGCAAATGCGTGAGGAAAAACGAAGGTAAATTGATTTTGACGATTTTTTTTACTGAAAAAAAGTTTTACGTTAAATTTAATCAATTGTTTGCGAGAAATTCTCAAGTTGGAAATCTCAACCAAGTAAAAGTAGCGGAATTTATAATCTTAATCTCTTTTTTCGTTGTCAAACAGAGAGGCTGAGGAAGCTGAACAACAGCGATTACTTGAAGAAGAGTTGGCCAAAGAAAAGGAAGCAAAGAAAGAAGGAATGCGAAAGCGAAAGCCCGCATTCAAAGCCACGGAGAAGACCGATGAAGAGCTGAAGGGATATTCAAAATTGAATATGAATTTGACAAAAGGAACCGGTGTGAAGGCAGTCGAGGCAAAGGTATATACACATCAAAGAAAAGTGTTGCATTCAAAAAACTTTTCTTTTCTTTACTTTTTCGCACTTTGAAGTCAATAATTATTGCAATTTTAATTCACACCAAGTTAATCGCATCACTAACGTATAAATTTCCATCTGTTCACAGGCGCCAGTGTTGAGTGGTGGTTTTTGGACGGATGATGATTTGTCCGAGTTAACGCGGCTCACGAAAAAGTATCCAAATGGCACTCTGTCCCGATGGGAAGTGATCGCTGGACATATGAATCGATCTGTGCACGAAGTGACGTTCATGGCGGCCAGACTAAAAGAGCCAGGCCAGCGACCTGACAGTGTAGCCGAAGCGATCGTTCAAGAAGCTACGAAGAAAGCGAAAAAAATTGCAACCGATGACAAAGCTCAACCAGCAGAGGCCGTATGGTCACAGGAGCAACAGAAACTTCTCGAAACTGCCATAGTTAAGTACCCAAAGACGACTGCTGGCGATCGATGGCAAAAGATCGCAAACACGGTACCAGGAAAAACGAAAGAAGAGTGTTTGGCTCGCTACAAGTATCTTGTACAAAAAGTCAAAGAACAGAAATTGAAAGAGGCATCAACGCAGCTAGAGGCAGAAGAAAAGGTAGAAAAATCGGAAACAGAAAGAGTTGAAAGTGTGGAGCAGCCAGAGGAAGAAGAAGAAGAAGTCAAAGATGAAGCCGAAGAAGAACCCGAACCAGAACCAGTTGCTGAAAAGAAAAGTGGCGGCAAACCACGAAACAAACGAAAAGAACGCAAAAAGCGAATGGAGTTCTCAAGCGATGAAGAAGATAACTATAGTTATGAGTAAAACGATGAAAAAATTTCACTTTTGAGTGTATCAATAAAACGAATTTCAAATCGATGTGTTATTATTTGCATATATCAACAACTTGTTTCTGATGACCTGGTTTAATTAATGGTTTTCATTAGGCGAACCAAACTGATATCTGAATTAAGTATCTGGTGGTCTTTCAACGGTGAAGTATGTCAAGACAGAAGAATCAAAGACGCATTCATTTTCATTCTTTATCGGCTGATGATTTGATTGAACAAATTATTTTCCAAAATCTATACATGATGATACATTCATGGTGTTTTTTATTCCATTTGTTACGAACTTCATAAAACCGAATTGAACGTCGCTCAATTCGCATAAATGAATAAACATACATACATCATTGGGCATAGAACAAACGCAATGTTTGCAAAGTCATTGATTTTTATGTGAAAAAGTTAAAAAAAGAGGTGGCCACTCAGAAAGCACCTTATCCGTAGCCCACTGAGTTAGCAGGTTCGCGATCATCGACGATTGTGGGTTCTGATACACAGAGTGTATCAAATAACCAACACGAATCTCCCTCACGCTTTCGGATAAAGCACCACAACTCGTCATCGTGGTTGCCGTCCCACTCTGGTTTTAGCCAAAGTTGGTATAAGATATACTACAGAAATGATCCTGTGAAGTATAGTCTTGCCGATAGCTTGTTTTGCCATGAGACTTATGCTCTGCGCTCACACATTGCACCAGCGAATTATAAGACAAACGATGTGAACACGAAAACCGAACTAAGCTGAACAGTATATACGGTTCTATGGTACGCATTGTTGACTATAGGCAGAGCAGAGGCTACCGCATGTACCTACGTCATAGCAATAGACTGATAAACGTAAATATTCACAGCACGTGCTATTGCTTTGAGCCATATACACATACACAGTGCGAGCATTCAGTATTTTTTCTATTGAAAAATTTATATTCTCACTCATGCTATACCATGAATGTGGTGATTCGATAAGTTTTGTATAGTTTTTTGATTTTATGATTTTTTCAAAAATTCTTCCCAATTTTCTTGAATCAATTTTTGATGTAGAATTGAACAGTTGCCAATATAGATGATTTTCGGATTTGGTGATTTTATTGTATAACTTCGAAGGAAACGATTTTTGCTTTCAAAAGTAACAATTTGTCTCTCAAAAATGATTGAACATGCTCTCCGTACAAATGTTATTTCGCATTCCTCTCTGCTCTCGCCGATAATTCGCATCTCTCTTTTGTGTGGAGCTTCTTCGTTATTGCGCTGCAAAGAGCACATTTCAAGTGAGCGTCGTTCGAAATATTCTCAATATTTTTGTTTTTTTTCCTGTTATTTTTGACTGTTGCATCGTCAGTAGTTCATACTGGAAATTACACAAAACCAATTAGAGGCAGGCAATTTCGTAAAAAGAATTTCTTTTGCCTTTCAGTTTTCATGTAATAATAATCGGTTCACATATTTTCTCGCGTGAAACCAAGTTTACAAAAAAAATAACATTGTATAAAATTGCGTGCGTCGTGTGATTGGCATAGTTTTGATAATAATAAACATCTTCATCAATTCGATCATGTGCTGCAAAAAAATGCAATCCAATATGTTTTCTTGTGTGTGTAAACCAATATTTATATAATTTATTCGCCTTTCTGAAACTGATTTTTGGCTGATAGAAAAACGCATTCGCGTAATTTCGCGGAATTGCGTTTTTCTGCCCATTCCACGCCGTATTATTGGATGAACTATTGCATCGAAGGGTTATTTTTTTCATTACCACAAAAAACATACATCGGGCAATTAAAAACATTTTGTAATTTTGATTGAAATTCTAACACTTTTTTTGCCTTTCCACAGCAATTTTCGAGATATCAATCTGTTATTAACGGTGAGCTTCCTCACTTTACTTCACTGAATTTCGTTTCAAGAAAAACACAAATTGATTTTTCTTCGGTTATTCATTTGGCCAGTCGTAAGTAACGAAAAAAGATTGTGTTTCTTCAGTAACAACTGTATTGTGTTAATTAATCAGAGAACGATTGAAAAGTGCCGCTTAACTCGTTTCTACTTCCGACAGTTTTACCTCTAATGACTCTTAACTCTCTGACTTGAAGTGATAAGGAACTATTTTCTATTCGATTTTTTTTCTTTCTTTCTCTGCCATGGGATTATTTATTTATTTACTTTCCGAAATAAGCATAAAAAACGACCAATTTCGTTGAGGGGGGAAAACGTTGATTAAAAGTTAGTCACAAGATTTACGAGCAAATTACACATCTTCAACGCCGTGAGTGTTTGTTTTTCCGTATATACCTGGCAAAAGAAAGTATTCAATTCTGCATGAACTGAGTGAAATAATGAATTATTTTGGACAAGAAAAGTTAGTTTTTTTTTATGTTTTTCACCCGCGATGTTTGTGTAAGCACGTAATGTAATTTTCAATTGGCATCGAAAAAAGATTACTCTTTTGATTTCGATTCATTCACGTTTATTATTATTTTATGTGTGTTTACAAGTCGCTCGATTCTCACTGTCTGAAAGTACATCCAAATTCAGTGCCATTGTATGTACAGATGCAGGCTCACAATGGAGCAAATGATATCTCCATTACAATTCGAAAATTATTATGATCTCTTCAGGCGGTTTCTCTACGATTAAATGCCAAATAATTTGGTTTTGTTATTCTATTCGGTTTATATTTTTTTCTCAAGCAAAAATCTCTCGCATGCATGTGCTACAGACAAGCCGCCAATCGGCTGCAAGATATTCAGAGAGGTAAAGAGGGAAAAATGGGAAAAAAAATCAATTACGTGTTTTGAATAATGCTTGCAGCGATTTGATGATCTACGCAAACAAGCACAAGATTTATACTCCACGACGATGGAAACACATCGGCCGCGATGAATATGATCAAACACGAGTGTGTGCTGTGCTCTCACATCTCCGTTTATGGTTTTACGACGCAAGGCACATAAAATCGGTTGATGGATTTGCATTTCTCTATGTCACCAGATATGCTGTGCCTCACTTGGTTAGTAAATACATGAAAATTGATGCTGTTCCAACAGCCTATTCTACCGATTTATTCCACCTGATCTGATGATCATGTGAACAAAAAACCATGTGGTTTCGTAAAGTTTTACAACCAAATGTTTGCATAGACTTGCTTCGCACTCTCATTACAGAATCTCATAAAATTTATAACGGTTCCTTGCACGTAATTTCATTTCTATTCGAAAAAGGTGTGTTTCGTTTATGTATTAGCCAATTGTTCGATGTACACCTCGAGAAACGATAATAATAATTGAAAATTGAAAGTGAGGCGTTACAAATCGAAACAAAACCACAATTTCTTTCTCTCTTTCTCTTGACGAAGCCCATCTCAGTCGATGAATTAACAACAACATGAGTTATTCAAGCATCGAAATCAATTTATGCGATGCGTTTTATGCTGTACAAAGTTCTAGAGACGCTGTTTGGCGTGCACAAAACCAATTTCAAAATGCAATTCAACGATGATTTATGAGTGTTATGAGTGTGAATCGTGAATTTTAGCAAAATCCAACATCGGTGCAATCAAACGAACTTCTATTCGAGACCAATAAATCTCTTGCGTTGTACTGAACTAACGAAAATTGTGTTTTTTTCGGCCACTTGCTTCTAACGTACTCTGTAGTTATCACTACGACGTTCAATTCATGCTCTCAAAACGCATACAATGTTGTGTGGAAATGTGCATTTTTCTTCGTTAATTACAGTGATATTGATTACACTACGGCCGTATCGGAAACACTCGGTAAACAGTGATGTACACATGTGCCGTGTACGTGGATCATTTGAGGTGCATTTTTTCCAATCCACACTTTGTATGCTGCCGCACTAATGTGGAAATTGCACGCGATGGCAAAACAACAAATTGAATATCAAAATCACGGTCAATGAACGACATCTCAACATATCTATGGATATATATTTTGTGTTTTGAAATATGAATTAGTGATTAGTGCCAGTTTTGACGGCTGTATTGTATATCATTCGAAAAAATTTGTAATTCGATCTCTTTCTTTATAACTGTAATTTCTATTTCGAAGGGGGATAATAGCAAGCGAGCGAAAGACACAACCAATGATCTCATTAACTCAACATTTGCTGAATGAATGACATGTGATGAAAATTTATACACTCGTCAAAATCCAACAAGGTGCTTAACGAAATTATTTTTGAAACTGAAAGAAAAAATTGTATTTACTTTCTTATTAAAAGTGGCGAATGAGCATTTGGAATAAATGGATTTTTTCTCTTTGCAATAATGCTATTGTGTTACAACATTATTTCTTCGATGTTTTTCGGCTTTTTATTTGTTATTTTTGTTATGATACCAAATCACTTGTGCTTATATCAAATAACTTGTGTAATATTTGTAAACGTGATACAATTTTTCTGGTTTAAAAGTCAATTTTCGAGCATTTTTTCCCCCCTCTATTATTCTCACTTTTCACATGGAGTAAACATTTCGCTCTAATGTTGATGTTGGTAACATTGTTACAGCAAAAAAAAGGAGAAAAGAAGAAGAGATTAGAAGAATCCAATCAAAATTCAATTCGATGCAATTGCGAAAGGTGGATATATACCAGCCGACGCCACATTTGATCTTCTTGGCCTTTGGGTTCAAAAAAGGAATTATCTTTTTCCCAGGCGTGAATAATTTGGTTAATTTCCTTGCTTCAATCTCTGAATGAGTCGATAAAATAAATGGAAGCGCTCGGCAAAGTTTGCACAATTTTGCTCAACAATAAAGCCAATTTGTGGAGAAAAGCGAAAAAAATTTCAATGTTTACGGCATCATCGTCATAATATGAGCACGTGCGATTATCAGTTCGTGTGTAAAAAGTGGTAAAATGTGTGTTGATTGTCGCTTTCGCTGCCGAGTGTGGTGTGTCGGTTCGGCTCATTCATTGTGTTCGCGGTTAGAGGTCTAACAATCAAATGAGCTCACTGAAAGTGATTCAAGTGCACAATGGCGCAATGATATCTTTACATTACAATCCGAAAATTATTATAATCTTCAATTGAAATGTGTTTGTGTATTTCGTTGTTTTTTTTTCTTTTCTTCTTCTCTCTGTTTGCTAAAATCCAAACTAATTAGTTTTTTTTTATTATTGTTCCAAGATTTACGAATGAAATTGCGGGCCGACGCATACTGCGGCTCAAATCGGTAAATGTGAAGAAATGTAAAAATCAATTACTACACTTTTGCAGCGAGAGCATTTTGATACACACACATTTGTGTGTGCGCGCCGCAGCTCAATGAATAATAAATGCACTCACATCGCATTTATAGATCACAAGCAACAAAAGTGAAGCACTGAAATTATGGCTCAATTGAAGTATATTTATTAACAACGACGGTTGTGTGTTGTTGGCAATTGCAATCGAAATAGATGAAAATAAAATTAAAAACGGAAAGAAGCTAAAGAAATGACTGATAGAGAAAAAAAAACAAAATTGAAAGTGAGACGTTGTAGAGGCAAGTAAAAACAAAACAACAATCTATAGACCCAAACGCTAATATATCTATTTCTTTCCGATGCCGATTTGATTGGTGGTGTCCGCTGTAGCCACACAACAACATTGCAGAAATAACTCAAGCATTCAAATCGATTTAATGCGCTGCGTTTGTTTTTATGGAGTTGAAAGTTCTGAAATTACCAGAGATTTCGAAATTGGCTGTATACAACAAGTATTTTGCCGTAGATTTGAGCAGAGATAACAAGAGTTTAGATAGGTGCGCTGCCTATCAGTTGCTGCAATCTAATGAATTACAATCCAACGATCATAAAATTTGTTTCGATTTGATCTAAATGAAAGTCACACAGATGCGTAAATTATTATGAGCTTTGACACATCACAGTTGGAAAAACAGAGTGTCGATGTCATTTTCGATCTGCCAAATTGCGATTAGGTGATTGACGCCATCATCGAAACCATCAGCAGCTACAATATTGCGGTGGAGTGAATTTTTTCTGTTCAAATTTGTTGGAGCTGTTAAAATTTACATTATGTTGCTTAATTTGTGAATTGCACGCGATGTGCATATGTAATCACGGTCAATGAACGACACCTGAATCTTGTCGATGGTTTCTAAGGCATTTTTCTCGCATGCAAATACGAAAGTAATGCTGATATTTATGCGAATCTGTTGTTATTCGACCTCCGAACAAACGATCGTATCACCTGTCACAAATCACCATGTTTTTTTGCACAGAAATTTTGATTTCATATCGAAGATTGGCGGCGCTGATCATGCTTTTATGCAGCAATTATCAATACCCGAAAGCAATCGATTTTGCGATAAGCATCCAAAATTGGTGAGCACAAACAATGCCAGCAGTAGCCACATACGTAGGAGCTTGCGAAAATAAAAAATTAAAACGCTTTTTGATTATGTTGAAAATGTGCGGCAAATTATGTAAGCAAATCAGTTTTTTTTTTAAATTTCAACGAAATGCAAATTAGCAATAAATATGTTCGTTCCCGTTTTTATGGATACTTTAAATAATAGTTAGATTTGTTTTTTCCTGCTTGATCACTTGATGTGCCAATTCTAATTAAATTTGCATATTTTCTCCATTTTTGTGGTTGAATCCATCAGGATAAGGTAAGCATTGTACCGTTTTACGGGTGGTAATGATTGCATTAATGGTTTAGAGAAGATTGTTGCATTGATAACAGAAGAGAAGGCCAAATTTCGGGAATTCGGACAAATTGATCTCAATTAGGTCATTGGTTTTGAAACAGAACACTCAAACGATGAAAAAATAGTAAACAGGTATGGAGTGTCATCATGGAATGTTTGTCTGGTTGCGTCTCTCATCTGCTTCTACTGAAAATGATACCATCGAGATTGAGTAAATAAATCACGTTGAACTTTTATCAACTGACAACGTATTTTTGTCATGGTTTTACAAACCTTTCTCTATATGATAAACGCCTGTCAATTTAGATCGCAATCATCATTTAATGGCTTTGCATAGAGCTAAATTTGTTTGTTTTTTTCTTCGTTGTCGTCGATCAAGTTGTAGCCAAATATTTGATTCTCTAGAAATGTGATACATGACTATGCCATTAATTAGATCATGAGACCCTAAAGCGTTGTCCAAATTGACTACGGTGTGTCCATTCTAATGCGAGTATTGCTTTCAATCATATATCAATGTCGAACGAGTCGTAATCCACGCTTTCGACAAAAGCCAAACTGGCAGATGACATATTACAAATGTGGGTATTTTTCGCGTTCAATCGGCTAATGAATGTGGGACATTTCACAGTAGTGCATTTCAAAAAGATGTGCGTTGTTGAAAGTGTTTGGTATTTAAATGCTGGTGCTGGTGCTGTTGCGGTCAGCAAGAAATGGAGCCGAATAAAATAAAAAGTGATTTCACATCAGCTAACCATGCTATGGCAATACATCGGAAATTGATTGGTAATGGTAAAACTTTGCGTATTATTACCGGAGCAGTGTGCGTATGTGTGGTTTGGAGAAAGATGAAATTCCATTCATAGGTAAATATGGATGTAAACGACATTACTCATCTAAATGAATCGATTGAAGAAATGAGACCGTGCCAACGAGAGTAATAAACAAATTGTCGAATGCAGATCAATGTAAAGAAGAAAGAAAAAACCTCAGAACTACGTGTGTTGAATCCGCATTGGCCGTCGCATTCAATTAGCCACTTGCAATTTGCGCACTCAAAATATATGCATGCATCCATACGTACACAAACACGATTTCTCGTGAAACGCAGGAAAAGAAATGAGTTGTATGAATTTTCATTCTTCATGCATTCATTCTCTCTCTCTCACTCTCTTGCCGTGGCTTAGCTAATTCAATTGTTGGATGATGATTTTTAATAGCATACACCAGAGAGACCAAGACCGAATAACCATTAGCGAGCTCAGTCGCTTCACTTCAAGCGCATCATGTCCAGCGTAGCGTTCTCGAGCGAAATATATTAAGTTGTTGCATGCACGCGCAGTCTTTCGACATTATGCGATGGAAGCAGCCGAAGAAGGGAGAAATGAAGTCAAAGAAAAATACAAAAGCACCGTGTAACTCAACGCATAAACGCTTTCGTGTGTGGCGCGCTCGCCCCACTATCTCTCGTTCGTTCGCCATGCCATCGCGCACAACCGACACCAACCACGATCGGCTCATGGAAAATCATTTCTCAAAGTGGATTTCACGCGAAACAAGTGTTTCTCTTTTTTCTGTGTACGCTCTCTCTTTATCTGTACTTTGTATGATCGGTGTTTTATCGACGCCGTTCGATTCGAATTTGAGCTTCAAGTGCAGTGCTTAGCAAACCAAACAAAAATATCAAAAGCAAACATCAATAAAAGAAAAATTAGTGATTTTGAAGAAAGAAAAAAAAAAACGCTTTTTTTAGTAGTTGATTTGAGAATCCGATTTGTTGTTGAAATCAGCGAACAGGTGTTCATTTTGAATGCTAGTGGTATAAAGGTGAAAATAATGAGTTCAAAATAAAAGCAACGGATTTTCTTGGAAAAATTCAAAGAAATCAAAGCGAGAAAAAAGAAAAGAATTCCAATTGTGTTATGAAATAAAGAAAAAAAATACGAAGAAAAGAAGAAAATTTATTCAAAATGGTTCAAAAAGTAAATAGTGAAGTGGAAGTGAATACGAAACCAGCGTATATGTATTATTTGATGTCGAAGAGTGGCCAATGTTCGCCGACCAGCGATACATTGGACAGTGGCACGGGCAGTGATCTAGAAACGACACCGACGACAAATGGCAACTCGTACACATTGCCAACATCGTTAACATTAACGAATGCCGTCTCGAAATCGATGCGCAAATTCGGTGATTTATCACTCGATGGCAGCCCACGTCGACTCAAATCCAATCATTCCAGCAACGATAGTTACAATACGGACAGTGAAGAAAGTGAATCAAGCCTGAGCTGCGATTCGCTAAATTCCAGCGAAATTATGCGCATGAAAACCAATACAACGAACATCATACGTGCAATGCCATTCGGCAGTTCGGTCAGCACGGACAGTTGTCCGGAGCCAACCGAAGGCACCATTATCACATCGGACGAGAATAATGTGACGAAAATAAACTTTTTACCACGTTCACTGCTGCGTGATATACGCGATCGTTCGATGACAATAGGCAAGAATCAATCACATGCCGTCGCATTTTCACATCTCAACAGCAATGGCCACAGCAGCCACAGCAGTAACAGCAGCAACAATGGCAACAGCGACACCGACGAATCTAACGATGCATATCGAAATGATAGTAGCAAAACAATTATCGTAAACAGTCATCTGAAGAAGAAAGAGTGCAACAATACAAGTGCCAGTTACACAAATGAACCATTCAATTTACACCATCGACGTGATACCATAAACAATGATTTTGACCATTTGTTTGCGACAAACGGTAAAAGCATCGATCCATTGCGACGAGTCATGCAAAACATGAACAGCAACAACACTGGCAACAATAAGATGAAGAGTGAGAATAAGCGACACATTTATGAAAATGACAAGTATATCAGTTTTCATTTGAATGAACGTGCCGACAATGCAATGTCTCACGAACGTGACACATTCAATCGAACGAAAGACGATGACTCGTTTGCCGGATACAGAGACATCACCGCATCCAATGTTGCATCGACCATACGAAGTTCAAAGGGAACCATCCGTGGTGTTAAGAATCGCGTACGAAACGGCATCGCCACATTCTTGCAAATGCATCAAACCAACGTGAAGGTAAGTTTTTCTTTTTCAATTGAATGCGCTGAGCGAGTGACTTTGTTTACTCGGTAACTGTTTTACTGTCTTCCAATAACGGATACCTAAACTGGAGTAGTTAAAACATGTCCATATTTACCGTTTGGTGTTTCTCTCTCTCTCTCTCGCTTGTCAATGGTCAAGCCATTCTGCATTGAAAAGTAGCCTTCGCCTATCAACGGGCCAAACACATAGATCAACAATATATTCATTTCGCTTGAAAGTTAATCATCAACTCAATTTAGCTGTGCAAACGCCACAGGGTAGGTTTCGGGCGGCATTTTATCGGACTTTTTTTTTAGGTCGGTTGAGTGTTTTGCTGTTTGCGTCGAGTAATTCGTTTCTGGGTTTATCGCTGTGATCGCCGTTTCCGTTGAATTGACTCGGCACTTTTTGATCAATTTGTTCGTTCATTCGTTCATTTTTCATTCACTTCTTCTGCTTTATGTTTCTAATTCCTTCGTCTTTGATAGATCATTGGCCGACTCATCGTGTGGGGTGCATTATTTAATGTTAGCTCTGAAGCCATTGCTGAAGTGTTGCTTCTGACTCTTGAGCGTGTGTTTTCCGTATTTTGATACGTCTCCGATCGACCAAGTCGACACCCTGTTCAACACGATGCGATACAAATATATGCTGCACATCGTACACATATCAATATAGCCATAGCAATCGATTTCCGTGAAGGTATTTTATTTTTCATGAATGATACTTGGCGCGTACGGTAACTGTAACACAGCATTCCATCAGTCTCCTCTCCATATCTCAATGTATGGCCGACCAATATGCACTCAGCGTTCAACCGCAATCTACATACATGCATTTACGCAAAATCAGTCACTTTTTTCTCTTCTCTCTCTCTCGCTCTCCCCAGATGTATCTCATTGCATCGTCGTCGTTTTGCATTCAACTTGTGAGCGAAGTAATCTGGTTCGCGCGACGCGCTCGCGCACAATTGTGTGCATAATGTTTAAATTGAATGCTGGAACGATTGTGCCAAAACAAGTATGCCATCGCTATTTGTTGCTTTGCTTTGCTGTGTATGCATTTTTACCTTGGTTGTTTTTCTTCCATTGGACAGTTGTTGTGCTGATCGGATTTTCTCTTTATATATTTATGGAAACAAGTTTTAGTTTTCGAGTGGAGAGAAGAAAAAAAAACGGTGTACATTTGTGTTGCTTGCGACATTGTTAATTTCGATCTGAAATTCGATCGTCCGATGAACAATGAAACAAGTGCCATTTTTGATTCGTAAATGAATTTGGGCAAAACAAGTTTAATTTGAATAAAAACGCGATCGTTTAAAAGCTAATTAGTTTCATATTGCACTCAAATTTCGAAGACATATGGATTTCCATATTATGGAAAGATTGGCTCTTTCTTTTGGAATTCACCGCTTTTCCTTGCAACAGGTGCAGCCGCTAATTCTCTTTGCTCTTTGCGCACTTTCAATTACGGCAAAATACACTCGATCGATAAAAGTAAAAGAAAAACAAATAAATAAACATCAACAGCAACAAAACGCGTATTTGTAAAAGAAAGTCGAAGCCAGTTCATCATTTCTAATTTCTCAGAATCCAATTAAATCGCATCTCGTTCTATCATCAGCCATTCTCTCTCCTCGTCAAATCGGCGGCCTGCCGTTTTCCATCATTATTCTTGCCATTTTTTTTTTGGTTTCTGCAACAACCAAATCGACGCACTCATCTAGAACCAGATGCGGGGAATTAATATAAATATTTAATAAAATTGCTTGGCAATTTATGCCGTGGCAAAGCAGCAGAAAACCTGAACGCAAAACGAAGGAGAAAAAAAATAGAAAAGAAAAAAACATCGGGGCATAAATATAGCGCGAAATCAAACTAGAATCAAAATCAAATAAGCATGGAAAAAATGGGTACAAAATCCAAAGAAATAAAACACGAACAAACTAACGATGATCGAGACAAGTGAGAAAAAACAAGTATTTGTGTAGAGCAAAGAAAAAAGACACACACACACACACCAAGCATCGAACCCGTCCATGTGTAGTGGTAAAAACATATCAAAAACCATGAATAGAAACGATGAAGAAAATGATTGCAGACAATACAAATTCTAGGAGAACGGAACATAATAAGCTATAACGGAAATCACATCGCATGTACGGCAACGCTCGCGATCGCGCAACAACACACGGGTTCCGAGTGCATGCACGGAATTGTTATGGTTGTGACTGGATTGTTTGTCAGTCAACCAGTGAATGAGAGAGAGAGCGAGCAAGAGCTAATTTTCTACGCAATATTCATCGTTTGAGACACACGAAAAAAAAGAAACCAAAAGAAAACGCACTGAATAAAGCAATTTAACACCATGAAAAAAAGTATCACTCTGCATGTTGAGAAGTTGTAAAAGAGGAAGAAAAAAAAATGACGACGCACAAAAGACCAAAACAAAGCAGAATGAAATGTAGTAAACAAGAAATATAAAAAACTGACTTGATTCTATTCATAATTTCAATGCGTTCGTTGGTTTTATTTCTAGCGCAGCGAGTGTGTTTGTGTTCGCATTCGAATGGATTTTTGGCGTCACAGTGTTTTCGGAGTGTAAATGGGAGAATAATGTGTTACCATTGTGCGAGTCAATGCACCTTAAGCCGGCAATAAAAACCATTTCTCTGTATGTGTGTTTCATTGTGTGCAGCAGCGCTAAATTTCACACCGCGTATCGAAATTAAAGCCACTTTTAATCTGATCGGGTCAACAACAATTATTTCTCAAGAACAATTTGAAACGGTAATACAGTTGACAGATTTATCTGTTGTTTTGAGTCGGTAAACAACAAGCTCTCCTCCGGCGAATGGATTTTTGCGTCAGATTGCTCACTGATCTAGCTCATAATAACTCGTGAAGTAATTATGAACCGAATGTTTTTACTGCTGACATATTTGCTTTTTCCACCTTCGTCGGTGAGTTAATTGTTCCAACTTGGAACTGGCATTTTCTTGATATAATTAGTTTAGCATTCAAAATAAGCCGCCGTTGTTAATTAATTCACCATCAAAAGACGGCAATAATGCTCCGACAATGTCGATGTGCGGTCGACTCAACATCATTAAAATTCGCTTAAAAAATAGTTCAACAAAAAAAGCGGTCTAGAATCGCGCCTTTTGAATAAGGTTTGTCTCGTGATGTGAGATTGATTACACGGCTGGGTGCTAATCAAATTATCGCCAATTTAAACAGAGATCACTTTTTTTCGCGGCATTTGTGTTTGGCTTTCTGTGACAGAAACTTTCGAAAACATTCTACCGAAAGTGTATGAAACCATACGGATCAATCAGGTCAGGTGAACACATCACGTAAATAGTCGAAACTTTTATTACCGGCCATTTTCAACTGCAATTTGCATAAGCTTTGAGCTCGACGGAATTTCACCTAAATACAACAAAACATTGTTTGAAATCCGCGCTGCTTTTTTTCTTCTTTTCGGGTGACCAAAAATAGCGGATAACTGTAAAAAAAAATCTGTTTTATGCTTTGCGCTATTTATGTCGTTTTTGCTTCGTATCGAAACGCAAACAACAACCGAGAAGCGAATAGAATGATCGAGCAAATGAAAGAATTTGTTCTTTACATTTTTGGGCTAAGGTTAAAAGTCGACGATGACGACGACGTCGACGGCAGCAATCTCTGTTACGACGATGATGTAAAAAAAACAGCGGATTGTGCAAGACAAGAATTACCTACTTACAAAAATGACCAACATATAATTACAGTGACCGAATCGGCATATTTCTTTTTTAGAACGGATACGGAGCTGAAATCGACGCGTCAAATACAATTAAGAACCTTCGACTTTGGATTTTTAAAAAACGCTAGATTCCACAAACCTTGTACAAATTGATAGCGTTATTTTTCTGTGTGGCTCATCACAAAAACAACGAATCATCAAACAAATTGAATGCCGCTACTAATCGGAGAAAAAATGATGGAAAACGTCAAATCAACATGATTTATCGATATAAAAGCACATACCGATGACATAGATTCTGGCCATTTTCAGCGTTTTATCTAATTTGATAAAATTTCGATTGATAAAAAAACGACCCAACTGCAAAAAAACCCATCATTTTTATGATGATGTTAAGTGGTTAAGAGCTCGTCTATTTATGGAACATGTGAATCGTTTGCACTAAACGGACTAATGACCTTCTCCTACTTTTTTTTGGTAATTTTCCATTTTTTTTGCACTTTTTAATTGGATGAACGAAAGGTATTAGCAAAAACGGATGTTCAATTTATCATCTACTCAATTATAATTCCGTAGCCGTTGAGTAACTCCCGTTATAGTTCAAATAATTTGGATAAAAACAAATATATCGGTTAAAAACTGTTTCAAAATGCCAAAAATAGTCATTTTCCATAAAAGGTTCGAAGAATTTCTGTGATAACACGAAGATCGCGCAGCAAATGACCGTATAAAATTTATGGAATGTCTGAATAATTTTGCAGAAAACACTTTCGACAGACGCACGGTTTTTTCGTGTATTGTTACGCATCAAGAGCTCTATTGGAAATGTATGTCATATGACACACATGCTCAAGCCACTTGGACCGTTTCTAAAGAGTTTGAAAATTGTCGACGAGCTCTCGATTCGTTTTCATTCGAAATACACATGAAAAGGAAACAAAAAATAAAACGCGAAACAAATATTGTGACTTTCGATCTTAAGCAAGGCACAAATTCATTGAATGAAGCTCTCTCTTTTTCCCAGAGTCAGCACATTCTACTCAATCATCGATAAGTGTGTGAGTGTGGCGAACAGCACTCGAAAATTCGAAATGCACATTAATCGTGCGTATGAATGCGAATTGAGTGTATATATGTGTCAAAGTGGTTTTGAAAATGATCGAAAAAAGCGATAGTTAATCTAGTTGTTTGATGCGAGTAAGAGGAAAATTAAATGGTTTTAAATCTTTTCAGCGATGTTGTCTCAA